AAGTTTAGCCGTTGTATTCTTACTTCATGTCTATCCGTTGTATTCTTACTTCATGTCTAACCGTTGTATTCTTACACCATGTCTAACCGTTGTAATCTATCTTTGAGATTCTGCTTAAAGTAAAATACAATATCTAACTGTTATAATTTTAGTCCAAGCTTTGTGTTTATCAAAAAACACTCAGTGCTGACGTAAGAGTAAGATTAATATATGTTGCATGCATGTCATAATCGTTTTGTTGCTCTGTAAATTAACCAAACAGTTTATGTGTTCCTATGATATGCCAGATAAACAGATGATATGTTTTTACATTTGATTTCTATAGGTAACTGTTTTTAATAATTCTAGTGTCATAAAGTATGCTCCATGCACATGTAACTATATTTTTGTAAGATTACCAAGATCTTGAAACAACGACATGTCTGTACGTACGTGTGAGCTTTTTTTGTAGCAAAGCCGTATTGGGCTATCTGCTGTGTCCACCGCGGGGAATTGCAATTGTTTATTACTTGTCTCCCCTATTTTATTAAACAATTTCATTGAAGTAGGTCGATAAGTGAACGTTTGTTTTACTTTTATAACTTAGTGGTAATGTATATTGTTAATATCATATCAGTTTCTCTAATTTTGGATTATACTGGAGACCACTGAAGCTGCAATGATCCCTCAAAGAAATTAAAAGTATCTAAGAGCACGGAATCCACGTTAAGATGATATTTACAGAATCCACGTCTTCAAACTTACCCGAACTCACTGCATGTGCATACAATGGACTCTACCACATGCTGGGGTCATGTTGATTAATAGGGAGGACTCCATAAAGATCCCAATTCAAGAAGTATGATACCACGCATACACACACAGCTGCCAGGTTCGGCTCCCCTAACAATTTGAAGAAAAGTAGACTGCTATATAATTTATTGTATTGATAATTAAGAAACTGGTGTTTTTAAACTCATCCATCAATAACATGTATACATAGCTGTCAGTTGCATAAATACTTGATCTCCTTGATACCTTGAATATTAATTTTGAATATTATTTCTTACCTTCTATATGTATACTGAAATTGTTTTGGCAAATATCATGTTTGTGCAATGAAAAGTCACAATAGTCGTTATACAAGAACAATTTGTGCTGTCATCTAGTGACCAGAAATGAAACTGTTATTTATGAAGCATAGAAATAATATATGCTTATAAACTGAACTCACTACTAAGTATTAGATTTCCTTTTTATTATTTCCCCACAAAAATATGTGTGATAAAAAGAACTGAAAAATGTTACTGTTATACAAACTGTGAAGCATTCGATAATGGCAATTAGGTGCTTTATCAGATATTTGTAAGCATCACAGAGTAATAGACTGAATACAGCAGCCAATTTTTTCTCAACCTAGCTCAACACACTAAGATGATAATAAATAGTTTTGCAGTCAGTGCATCGTATCTTACAAATGGTATGTCATAGGAACGTGAAATTTAATAGGTGTGTTAAGGTTATAATGTGGATGCAAATGCCCCAGTTGTCATATGTTGCCACAAGGGGTGCCACTGTGGTTTCTTTCTTATATTTCCCATGAGTATAAATGGGACTGTTTAACACAATTTATATCATTCAACTGACGTTAATTTGGTAAGTGGGAAGAGATGTGAACTATTGAAATATTATCACACCAAATCAGTCAATGCCAAGGTAACTCTCAGGGAATACTGTACAGTGCGTAACATCTTAACAAAACCTTTATAAAATAATTTGAGAATAGAAGTTGCGTTTATGAATAGGTAGATTACAACACCTACTAAAACTTTCACTGAGGTCAGCCATGCTTTAGCCAACACAAAGGCACATGGGTGCAGCAGTGCACATTATGTCACTCAGAATCGGGATTTATCAGTTTCAACAGTTCATACGACTCTTCTGTCAACTTTTCAAATGTTTTGTTACAATCTGCATCATTTTTGAGCACTGAAGGAGATGGAGTTAACATGAAATGTTGATTTTTCAATGCATTTATTAGCAAGATTGGAAGTGGATGATCAATGATCTACCTATATCTTATGGGTTGATGAAGCACACTTCACCCTTTCTGAAAAAGTCAAGATGTGCCATTGTATTATCTGGTCAGAAACTAAACTCCATGTAACATTATTTTCTACAAACTTCCATGGTGTTAAGGTGACAGTGTAGTGTGGTTTAACAGCTGACTTTGTTGTTGTACATTATTGTTTGAAAAACTATTGGGATACTCACTGCAAACCAGAATGATCAATATTGCATGGTACCTCGCAATGCTCATAGTCAATGGGATTCCCATGTTAGAGCAACAAAATATGATAGACATATTTTTATGCATGACAGTGACTTTTAACATATTGGTAACCAGGTGAAACAAATCTTATGAAAGCACTTTCAGGACAGAATAATTTCATGTCACTTCACTTGTTCATTAGAACTAACATCAGGTGATTTCTGGTTATGGGAATACCTGAAGTCATGCTTGTACTATTGGAATCATCGCACAATTTTAGATATCAAGAATGAAATTGTCTGGGAAGTGGCCAGCATATGAAATAAGATGTGATTCAGTGTTGTAGTGTCCATTGTTACATGGACCCAATACATTTTGTATGCTAGAGGAGCACATCTTGATCAGGATAAGGTTAAAGTGGCAACCCTGGTGGCAACATGTGATAACTGTGGTACTTGCATCCACATGATACCCTTAAAACCCATATGCAATTTCACTTTTCTATGAGTTATGATGGATTCGACTGTTAAACTTTCTTCATAATCACTCTATGTAATGTTTACCTCATTCAAAAATGTTTACCTCAAAGTCATAAATTATCATGTTATATACCAACCCAACGTATTTTTCAATCAAAACTACTCAAAAATACTATGCAAATTAACTTTCTTTTCATTTTGACTAACCAAGTGAACATAATGTTATTTGATTTTTGAAGCTGAAAATAGCCTGAAAGATATCAGTTGCCAAATGTGCAAAATATTTCTTCATAAAATTCAATTACAACAGTGGGTCCACCATATGTTTCAGTCAGTGAGGTGTAGGTGCTCTAGTCACTCAGTGTCTTTCCTTCAGTAAAAATAATATGTTCTCAAATATTTCAATTTGGGGCCAAACCTGAAATATTTTTTCTTGCATGAAGAACACATAGATCACACCATACAGTTGAAAACAACCATTGAAGTTTCCACTAAATGTATCCCATTTCAGAATTCAAAGCCAAAATTCTTTATTTGCCTGAATAATTTGTACTCATGTATATAATATATCTGTGTATATAACATAGACAAACTGGTTTAATATGTTCCAAAATAAACGTGTAGACTTTACAAGCACTTCTATTTTGGCATCACATAAAAACGAACAGATCATGTTTAGTGCATGACATCACCACTAAATGGCTTTATGGTTTCTCTTGCAACTGACAAACACAAGTTACTTACTCCTTTTCTTTCGTAAACTGTACAAAGGCAAAATCTTCAAATGCCACCAAACGAATGAGGATTACCCCAACTCAAGTAATGTCACGAAAATTAAATAGTAACAGATGTCTTTAAGCTAAAATAGATTATTCTGCTATAAAATCCATCGGACCACATTCTGTAATTATACAATACACATATATACAAATATTTCAATGTAGTAGGCATGGACAGCAACAGAAAAATTACTTTTGCTATCATAAAAAGGCAATCAGTCCCTACTGCCATGTTTATCTTATCAACACTGTCTTCTATGGTCCATGGAAAACCCTGCTACATCAGATAAATACGAAAAATAATTTAGACACAAATCTAGCCAAGTGGCACCCATTTACCTGACTTACACATTCCATGTTAACTTTTTCATGTTGTAATACAGTACGACCTGTTCACAGCACTTTAAGAAAATTAGTAGTATATTAGAACCAGACCATTAGGCATGACCTCACAGAGCGGCACAACACAAAGTCGTGCAGTATATACCAATTACCTCTTTCAGTTTTAGTGGAGAACCAACTAAATCCAGAGAAGCCTTCCACTTTGTCTGAGTTTTCCCTGGTGTGACCCGTGTTTTCTCCACGTCTTACTTTACTGTTTCCTTGAACACTGATAGGTTTACCTGTTTTACCTCACTGACTGGTGCACAAGCTCCAATTCCCAACTTCTCTGCAAAATCCTGTCGAGATATTTTTGGGCGTTCATCTTATTCTTGAAATCTGGATATGCATCCATCCTTGAACCAAATCTGCAATGCCAACATGAAATGATATTCCACACTTTGTTGTCACATTCTATTGTGTCTTGGACAAAGGTCATTTTTGCTATCGTGATAGTCTATGGTGTTCTCAGAGTGTCGTCAGTGTGCTTTGCTGACCATGAAGGCTCAAGACTAACTCCTACTTTCGTTGGATCATAACGAGATGTCATGCCACCTGTTCCAACTGAGAAAATGTACTGAAGTTCGTCAACAGCATCCCTCTATTTCTTCTTGGTATTTGGTTACTTTATACAGTACATTGTGAAACTGGAGCTTGTTCACGAGCTATATTAACAACATCAGTAAATCTCGAGACGTTCAGGCTACTTACTGTCACCATGACCTTTTTTTTACTGTCCTAAGATCCTGAATATTAGATGTAACCACGTGAAATTACATTAAGGATGCCCCAGATTGCCATTCAACTTTTTAATTATGAAGATGGGTCGAGAACAATGGTATTGCTCTCACCATGGTTGGTGAAAGTTATAGTTTTAGAAGACTGCCTCTCCTATTGCTCTCACCATGGTTGGTGAAAGTTCTAGGTTCAAAAGACTGCCTCTCCTATTGCTCTCATCATGGTTGGTGAAAGTTACTAGGTTAGATAGACTGCCTCTCCTATTGCTCACACCATGGTCGGTGAAAGTTGTAGGTTCAGAATACTGCATCTCTTATTGCTCTCACCATGACTGGTGAAAGTTCTAGGTTCAGAAGACTGCCTCTCCTAGACCTTGTCATATTCTCAAACAAAGTCCTCGTTACCTCCACAATTTCCTTATCTCTCGTACATTTTGTGTGCTCTCAAAAAGCTGCCTTCCACAATGGTATGACTTACAAACCAGAGGATCTACAGAAAAGAAAGAATGTCCAAAATAAACTCCGCAATGACAAATCCTTTGATCAAGGGCCCTAAAATTATTCTTTTTCACCTAATCTGTGGTACTTAGGTTCACTGATACCCAATCTCAAAGTATTCGTAAAATACAGGTTCAGGACTGTTTAGTGGTGAATATATTGAACACGAACAGTAAAGGACAAAAATAGCAGCTTTTATGGTACTCACATAATCTTTTGTAATACTGTAATAATTAGAGATAAATAGTTAACGCATAGGTCAAGACTTATTACTCACTTGGTTGTCTATTTATTACTATTGTCAGACATATTTAGCAGAAAGTATAACCAATGTCTTGACATTACGCTTGTGTATTTTGCTAACAATGCGAGATTCTTGTTTTGAAGATGTTAGCTTTTTTGATTGTTTAATTTTAGTTAAACACAAAGCTATACAATGGACTATCTGTTCTGTGCACACCACGGGTATCGAAACCCGATTTTTAGTCTGGTAAGCCCTCAAAGATACTGCTTAACCACCAGGTTGGGGTGGGGCTTAGCAATGTACATATATTACTCTCGAAAAATGAAATTTCTTGGTAATAATTATATTACCATTACCCACGCCTCACCCAACAATAAATGGTAATAGAAGCTTAGCAAAACGCACGTATTATTTACTAAACAATATGATATTATTTTGCATCTCGTGCTAAATACATGATATTTTAGTACTAACTTATATATTAGGCTACAGGTGATTGAATACGGTTAGATAGCCAATTACTTTATGTATATGTATATATACATATAACGCACGTGTTTATACGCATGTATATCAACGGGAGTGTGATACAACTTATACAATATAAGTTTATTAAGCCCTATATTACTGAATATCACATGGTATTAATTAGAAAAGTTATCGTGTTAGTTAAAAAAAGTCCACAAAATAAGTTGCGACCGTGTAATCAAGATGTATTTCCTGTAAATAAGTGCCAACAACTTAATTAATACATATATTACTTGTAAACAAGTGCCCAAAACCTAATTAATACAAGTATTTGGCTCGTCCTTCAACACAAGATATAAGATAAGGAAAATAAATGTAATTAATATTATCTTCTGTTATTCAATAGAAGTATTTGGCTCGTCCTTCAACACAAGATATAAGATAAGGAAAATAAATGTAATTAATATTATCTTATGTCATTCCTTAGAAGTATTTGGCTCGTCCTTCAACACAAGATATAAGATAAGGAAAATAAATGTAATTAATATTATCTTCTGTTATTCAATAGAAGTATTTGGCTCGTCCTTCAACACAAGATATAAGATAAGGAAAATAAATGTAATTAATATTATCTTTTGTTCTTTCTTTAGTCACCAGTAACTTCTCATTTAAGAACGGCTACGTCTCTTTTTACCTGTTGTTCTTTCTTTAGTCACCAGTAACTTCTCATTTAAGAACGGCTACGTCTCTTCTTACAACTCAATGCTTAAACTCAACTCTTGGCGTACAGAAAATTTCAACATTATCAATCTAATAAGACAATTTGCATAATATTTCAAGGATTTTTTAAAGATCACACGTTGTAAAATTACCATTTAAAACACTAAGGCACAAAAGTAGCCGTTACAGATAAGATTTAAATTTACGTGATACTATTTCTAGGTTAATTTGACATTAATTACAAATTAAAACGTTGAAGCACCAAAGCAACCGCTACAGATAAGAATGAAATTTACGTGATACTACTGATAGGTTAATTTAACATTAATTCGTCTAAATCGCTCAAAATATTTATGAAAACGTGAAGTCTTCCATTAAATCTCTTTCGTTCGACAATCTTTACATTCATATTTAACTATCATTATTCTACATTATTATATACAAACATACACATTTATACGGATATACAAAACTGCACCAACTAAAGACAGATGATATCATATGTTAGACATTAAAAACAACCATTTTCAACTTTATCGCTTCCTCGATTGATTTGTAATGTTTAGGTGACCACACAAATAAAACCAATGCTTCATAAACCAAAGTACTTATATGATTCAAGCGTTTACTCACACAGTACAAAACAGAGAATTCTCTGGAATAAAATACCTGATCACATATAACTTAAGCAAAATCAAGATTATTGTTACTATGGATACCAAAACCGGCTTTTTGTAAGTTTTCTTGGATAGGATTAATAGAAGTGATTTGATTTGATTTATCTAATCTAAACTGGATAATCATGTAGCTTAATTTTTCGAACATACGCATACACAACAATGCTGAAAAACAACTCACATCAGCATAAATATATATATAAACACACACGTACAAAAGTTAACACATAACTGCCTAATAAAGTAAAACACGAACATAACAATACGAAGCGTTTATGAATTAAACGATTCGGAATCTTCAAAATTCCATCTTCAGTAATTTAGCGGCACAAAACAAACACAGAGGTAATTACAACAGAAATATGATATAGCTCTGGTATAATTACCATTGTGTTTCTTTTGTACCCATAGGTTACTGAAGATGGAATTTTGAAGATTCCGAAACGTTTAATAAATGCTTCGTATTGTTATGTTCGTGTTTTGCTTTATTATTAAATTACGTTTCCCGAAAATAGAATCGATAACTGCCTAACTGCTATCTTAACTCTAATTTTTTCGAAGAACTATGATAGTGTATCGTATATAGCGACAAAAACGTACAATATATTATTATCTATACCTTATCAAGGTAATGATTCGTCGACGAGATTCGTATGCCCAGAATTCTTGAAATGTGTTTTATAATAATACAAACATTGTCTCATAAACAGTAGCTAAATACCAAATTTTTGTTTTTTTGTTGTTGTTGTTTATTGGGTGATAGCGCAAAGCTACTCATCTGCGCTAGCCATCCTTAATTTTGATGTGATAAACTACAGGGAAGACAGCTAGTCAACACCGCCCATCGTCAATAGATTGCGAGTAAAGTGCTCTAGCCATCAGACCATGCATGGCCGCTAGATACTGGATACTTTACATCTCTGGTAGAAGTAGGACTTTTTTAAATTTGTAATACTATATAAAATTAACCTTATCACATCTAGAATCACTTAAAATATATTATAGCCATTAATTGAAATTTATGAACGTATAGAAGGTTACGTCTTAAGAAGGTACTCCATATTTAGACAGTTAATTTAAGGCCTACACATGCTTTACTCAATAGATAACAACATTAACTGTGTTAATGAGCACAAACAATTGAAATCCAAGGCGTTGAGGCTCAGAGAATTAAATCAAAAATATTTATATTTGGTTGCTTAAAGAATCGTGGGATAAAATAAGCTTAATAAGTCAGAATTTCAAAATTGGTACAAACAATAAAAAATAATTAATGCATTTCAAGAAGAGTGAATTTTCAGGAGCTATTGGCAATGTACACAGACAGACACATCTACTGAGAAGAACACATGTTGAAGATGAAAATATAACTTATTCTCATTTAATTATCTAAAAATCACACGTGTTTACAGATACGTGCACGAGTAACTTAAAACAACAATCCCCCCCCCCAAAAAAAGAGATATTAACAGTGAGATAAAGTGTTTTCTAAAACAGATTTGCTTAATGCTCATTATTATTTGGTAAAAAATAATAAATTTTTATAGCTGACATTTATATTATTATATCTAAAGTTTTGCCACAAATCTTATTGTGGCAATAATCAGCTCACAAGGTTTCTAGTTGACAAGAACTTTTAGTATTAGATGAAGTATATATCAATTTTCAAGAGAAAAGACAGACAATGTTTATAATAATATGTTTGTTTGTTTTGAATTTCGCGCAAAGGTACACGAGGGCTATCTGCGCTAGCCGTCCCTAATTTAGCAGTGTAAGACTAGAGGGAAGACAGCTAGTCATCACCACCCACCGCCAACTCTTGGGCTACTCTTTTACCAACAAAAAGTGGGATTGACCGTCACATTATAACGCCCACATGGCTGAAAGGGCGAGCATGTTTGGTGGGATGGGGATGCGAACCCGCAACCCGCAGATTGCGAGTCGAGCGTCCTAACCACCTGGCCATGTATAATAATATGATAAACGTAGTTTTCACGGCTATAATCTAGGCTAACTTCTCTATAGCTTATAGAAACATTCTGGTCCTTGAACGGATGAACAAACCAACAAAACTAAATAATAATCTATAAAATCATTGCGCTTGTTAACGGTTTTCAGCAAGCGGGTAGCTAGCTATCAGGATGTGCAGGATTCTTGTTATGTGCTTGATATAATTCTATGTACGAGTATATAGATATAGCTGACGCAAGCAGAAAAGTCAGGAAATAGGGACAGAAAATTCGTCCCCGTCCTCTTTGATCCCGGAGTAGCCGCAGGCGCTACGTTGCGTTAACCGTGAAAGACAGACTAACTCTCTTGTTCAGCAGTGGAACATAGGTTTAGTTGACACAAAAGCCACGCATGGCTTCCTAGGTACAATTAAGGATCCTCATTTTCAGAATATTACGGTGGTGTTTCGATCCACCGAGAAGTAAACAGAAATACAGTGAAAATTTCTTACCTGCCAGCCACAGGAGTCCAAAGCAAGAAAAGACATCGTGGACCTGACTGGACTTGCTGATCTCTGAATAGCGGTACCGAAGGATGAGGTCAAAAAAGGTGTCCAGTTGTGATTCGTAGTGTCCTACCCGATCGTGGGGCGTGGCTTGAGACAGGAAGGATGTAAAGGATGCAGGCGAATGATGATCGGGAAGATGGTGACTGAAGTGTCCTGGGGATTTCTAAAGTAGCGAAATGAGAGAACTTTCAGAAAAGTGTCCATATGTTTATAGTCTAATAATATTAGAGACAAAATTCACGCCTGCATGTTACTCATT